AAACGCAAATTAAAGCTGGAGGCCTTCATTTAATTCCCAAGTGAGATTATTACTTGCTTTGACAACATGAATACGGTTTTAATAAAGCAAAGTAAGTGAGACAGTTAGTACAGAGGAGACATGCACATATCATTTCACCCACAGAGGCTCTGGATGTTTCCACTGCCTCCAGAAACAATCTGCATAACAGTTATTCCGGGATGCTTTGAGTCCCTTTTCTCTGCACGTGGAAGGCAAACAGCATAGCTAAGGAAAATGACTTAAACCCCCTTGTAGTGAAATTGCAGTGACATGTGAATGCTGCTTTATTTGCATTTTGGCAGGGTCACCCAGAGAGACTTAACGTGAGCAGCAGACACACAGGAGACGCGTTCAAGTGTTTGTGTGAATTGCAAAAAAAATCCTTTATCCTTTATTTGAGTAAAAGTAGAAATACTCTCTGGAAATACTCACAAATACTCCGTTACTTGAGTAGAGAAACACAAGTATTATTAGCTAAGTGTATCAAAAGTGAAGGTACGTATGCAGACGGGCTCCTTCCACAGTATTTTAATATGATAGAATATACTGTATATATAATCCTGTTTTTATCACAAAAAAATAGATGTTATCATTGTAGGTTGTCAATATTAGATACTTTCATTGTAATAATATGAATTTATTATGAAGAAAGTAGTAACTATGAGTGTTAAATGAGTAAAAAGTACAATATTTGCAGTGTTTTGGAAGTATAAATTAGCATCACATAGAAATACTTTGGTACAACTTTCTCAAATGACTACCTAATTATAGTCCTTGAGTTAATAGTACCTTCTTCCACTGGTATTGCAGGTGTTGATGGGTAAATAACTATATGTATCTCTTCTCACACACACACACACACACACACACACACACACACACACACACACACACACACACACACACACACACACACACAAGCTTCCCTTTGTGTGGAGGTGTGTGTCCGCTGTGTGAACAGATGATGGCTGTGAGTCGGTGTTTCATTTCAAGATGAAGCTGAAATACATTTGCGATTGTCGTGCGGTCGGGATGTTTATTAGTGAGAGAATAGAGTGGGTATTGTTCGGGTGTGTGTGCATTGTTTGCATAATGCCATGTCGCTTTGGTGAGAGGAGAAGGTCAATAACCTTGATCATTATTTAAAGACTTACACTTGCTTGGCATAAGCTCTGGCTTTTCTCTTTGGCAGTTTGTCATTTTCTTAGAGCTGCAGCTAACCATCGTTTTCATTATAGTTTATCTGATGCTTACGGTCCCGATTTATCCTTTTGTCTATAACCTCGCACACTGTGCCAGGAACGCATCAGATCTGTACGGCTTGTTGGTGCTTTTGCTTAGAAATAACGGTAACGGCAGGCTTTTAATCAAAACAGTTGCCAGTGTATTTTCTGTTGTTGGAATAATGGACTGCTATTTCAATTAGTCTGTCCATTATCTTCTTTTAAATCAGTTGGTGGTGTTCGAACAGTGTTTCCCAAAGCACAAGAGAACGTCCTCAAATGTCCCGTCCACAACTTGGTAGTGTACTGTCTTTAAAGAATAAAACAACCCAGGACATATTCACATTCAAGCAGCTCGAGACGGAGAATTGTAAAGTGTCTTCCTTTGAAAGATTACCTGAAGCCAATTAATGGATTAGCAATTAATGTAATAAAGGATTTCAACCAATGGATAGAATTTGAATTGCTTGTTTTGTGACCATCCGTCCTCAACAGATACTCCGTTTTGGATCACACACGGCGAAAGGAAAACACCAAACGATTGTTCAGACGTCGAACCTCGAAACCAGTTTGGTGTTTTTGCTTAACGATCGGTCGATAATTAAAATAGTTGCCGTTGAATGTTCTGTGGATGGAATAATCCGGTTGCTCTTAACCTGTTCAGCAGTGGCGGTTCTAGACCAATTTGACTGGGGGGCCAGTTATTTTCTGAGGGGGGCACAATAAATGCAGGACGAAAAAGAGAACTAGACAGTATGAAGTAATTGCGCATTAGAAAACAATGCAATCCAGTTATTGGTATTTGTTTCAGTACACTTATTTATTTCAGATAGATCTTATAGTTATTACTGTTAGCTTCAGCTTAAGTTATAGTGCAATGTTTGCACTAACACCATATTTATATAAAAATAAAGGCAATGAACAGTTACATCTCTACTTTACATAAGGGTGTCTGCACAATCTCACATTACAGCAACAAAATCCTGAGTACCAGAAAATATACATTTAAAAAAAAAAAAAAAAACGTTTCATTGTTAGGGGGGCCACAGGGGGGTCAGAGGTCAGTGTTAGGGGGGCACTGCCCCCCCCCCTAGAACCACCCCTGCTGTCCAGTAATGTCTTTATGAATTGGTTAGTGGTTTGGCCATGACGTGTCAGCAACTGGTGAAACATGTGGATCAGTGTTTCCCAAATGTCTTTTGATATTTAGTTTAATGTCATAAAGGAGTTAAAAAGCAGTCTTTGATCGCATTTATGAAGTCCATAAGAAACTCGGAAACTCGGGTGAAAATGCTATTTAAGGCAAAATATGAAATGTTTGGTACTTTAACAAACTCCTCCTAGAGATTTGATCAGATTGACTTCAAATGTGGACAGCTATCAACATTGTTTTTAATCTTTCCATTATTTGTCTTAATGTCTATCGGCTAATGTTTTGGTTGATAACATTTCAAAGCCCAAGATCACGTCCTCTACTGTCTGCTTTTGTCTTCAACCCAAAGATATTCAGTTTACCGTCTGTAAAGAAACTAGAACATGTTGATAACTCTTTATGGTTATACCAGGCTGCCGTCTTTGAATGCAACCCTGAATCTGAAACTCATTGAATTATAACTTTAGTATTATTCATGCCAAAGGAAATGGGAAGCGGAAACCCAGACACTGTTTGGTATTTCTTCTTTAAAAATGTGTCGATTATCCAAATATTTGCAGTCTATTTTTTGGTTCATCGACTAACCCGATCAGCTCTACTCCGTCCACTCCATGTATTGTTGATGGATCAAGTCCTAGATGACATCGTTGAGGTCTGTCGCCTTGTTTTGACCGTGCTCTGAGATACAACTCCGTTTAATTGGTTTAGTTTGGAGCCCAGAGCCGCTTTGGTGCAGCAGCACTTTAGCTCCAGACTCTCTGTCTGCGTGGCAGGTGCGACTCTGAATGACACGACGCCACGACGAGGCAACGTGGCAGCCCTCGCCAAAACCCTTTAGGGGGGTCGTTGTTCCGAAGAAACACCACAAATGTGGGTTTTGGATTTCGTGTGAGACGTCAAACACTCAACACTGAATGTCCTCCTCCAACATGAGAGTCACATGCTAACAAAGGTATCCCAACTGTAGCTGTGAACATGACAGGATGTGTGATGACCTAGAAGAGCATCAGGACTGTTTGAGGCAGATGATAGCTATGTGATTAACATGATGATTCAACCTCTATGGAGATAGACATCAAGCATGCTCATTTCTGACGTTGAGCTAATTTGAAGTAAACATTGAATACTGCTTTCTATTCCTCCATCTTGTGACTGTGTAACTCCCTCTCTTGGATATCAGCATGTGAAGGACACTGTTCAGGAACTAGTTGATGCTCTGTATGTGATGACTACTTCCATTCTGGAGAGGATCAGAAATACATGGATCCTGAGATTGAAGCTCACGCCGGTGACGAGAGATATTTTTCTGGTGACCGTTTACGTGACGTTAGATACCCTGAAATCCTCAGACCTCTAAATCATGTCGTCACCGATGTGTGTGAGCGGCGCCTCTTTGTTTGCGCTGGTAAACCCAGGAGCAGCTGCCGGTGGAGGGTCTGCAGGGAAGTGTGTGTCCTCTCTCTGCCATCCTCTGCCAAGGTGGCATTATGCAAGGGGGAGAAAGAGAGGGGCGAGACAGACAGAGAGAGAGAGGGGGGGGGAGGCGAGGGTGATGGCGGCCATAGTAAAGATGGAGGAGGGCTGCAGGAGAGGACGTGCTCCCTTGAACTTTGCCTCGGTGTCAGAGTGGAACTTGTCGATTTGGCAAATTGTGCGACGTCGGACAAGGCTGGCGCTCTCTCCTACACTCCCACCTGCTCTCCCCCCTCTGTATCTCCCCCCACTACACCCACCCCCTCTCTCTCTCCTCTGTCTCTTTCCCCTCCCTTTCAGCTCTTGAAGCGCATTGGCTGGGCTACAGGCGTCTTGTTGCCAAATAGGTGGGCCTTATATCGGCGTTGGCAGCGGCTCAAGCGATGGTTAGGGAAAGAGCGCGGAGAGGACGAGAGACGGCGAGCGAGGCAGAAAGGGAGAGAGAGAGAGTTGGAGAGAAAAGGGGAAAAAGAAGCGGCACTCGGCTCTGCCAGCGGTCGTATTCGCTCGTCCAACATTGATTCGGCTCTCTGGTTTTTTTCTATTCTGCTCTCCCTGGCCCCCCCATCTGTGTGTGAGAGTGTGTGTGTGTGTGAGCCTTGCGCCGGGCCCAGGGATCAGAACAGACACCACTTACACTTTGCCAAGGATTTTTTTTTGTTTTTGTCAAGGTTCATTTTTTTTGGAAAGCACAAAGGACTGGTTATTTTAAGTTCTTCTATTTTTGAAGTCGTTTAAAAAACAATGCATTACTGTTCAAAATGACTATTTTTACTCGACAAGTTTTTATCTTTTTTGGTGTTTTTGTGTGTCATGAGCTTCTGGCTGTGATCCCATCACACTGAATTTTCCTCGTCCGATTACATTTTTTCTTCGGTTTTTAAACTTTGCCCCGGTGCTTTTTCACTGACCAGCATATTCAGCTAATTATTTTTTACAACCTCCCCAAGTGTTTTATTTTTTTTTCATCTACTAATTCTCCACAGCGTGCCAAAGCAGCGTTTACATTGGAGAGCGCGGGAGAAAAAAAAAAAAAAAAAACTGGTGCAGGAGATTTTTTTTTCACTTTAAACGCTGTGCCAAATTTATGATGAGAGTGCAAAATGGTAACTACCAGGCCGTCTGTCTTC